TGCAACACCCGTGTTCGTGACAGCCTTGCTCACGACAGCCAAGTGGCGGAGGCAGCCCCAGTGTCAGTGATGAATGAATAAATGGAAGGCGGTACAGACAATCAAACGTTGTTTCGCTTTAAAATGCAGAAATTCTGGTACAGGCAATAATGCGGGTGAGCCTGAAAGTTACACCTTGAGGTTGAAGTGGAATAAGCCAACCACAAAAAGACAAATCCTGTGCGATCTCACTTAGTACTCGGGCCCCCGTGGAATCCACTTCAGAGAGACGGAAAGTAGGATGACGGATGTCAAGGGCTGGGAGGGGGAACGGGAAGTTAGTATTTGATGGGACAGAGGTTCCGTTTTGTAAGATGAAAGGGATTCTGGAAACGGGCAATGCTGATGGTTGCATGACAATGTGAATGTACTTCACACCACCAAAATGTGCATCTAAAATGATCAAGATGGTAAATTTTATGTGGTTTATCTTACCACAATCAAAAATAATTTTTCTTTTTTTGAGACAGAGTCTCACTCTGTTGCCCAGGCTAGAGTGAGTGCCGTGGCGTCAGCCCAGCTCACAGCAACCTCAGACTCCTGGGCTCAAGCGATCCTCCTGCCTCAGCCTCCCGAGTAGCTGGGACTACAGGCATTCGCCACCATGCCCGGCTAATTTTTTCTATATATTTTTAGTTGGCCAATTAATTTCTTTCTATTTTTAGTAGAGACGGGGGTCTCGCTCTTGCTCAGGCTGGTTTTGAACTCCTGACCTTGGCAATCCACCTCAGACCACTCAGAAAGCGCGTAGATGGACAGGCGTGAGCCAAACAATATACACGTGATATGAATTGAAACTGGGTTTAATTTATTGGATATAATTTGAGCCAATGATAATGGAAGCAAACTTTGTTGTTCTGGTCACAACAAAGGTGCCTTTGTTTATAAAAGGTCAACAACAAGGGTGCCGCACTTGCTGGGAGGGGTGACAGGGAAAGCTGAATTAACTCCTACACTGTTTTGAATAGAGGGGAAAAAGAATCTAGCTCATTTTCTCGGTCAGAAAAATGTTCAGGCAGGGAAAAAAAATTCCCTCCCCTTCTCCAAATAAAAATAAATAGACCTTGAATTTAAATAGACTTCTGGATCATTTTCAATAAAAGACGGGCATGAATCCTCGACTTCCAACTTCCTTGAAATCGGAGGATGTGCCCTGTGCCTGCGACTTTTGTTTGCTCCCGCCGGGCGCGTGTTTGCTCGGTTTCCTCGGTAAAGAAAGTTAAAGAATCCCCCACGGCTATGCTCCGTCTAACCCCGGGCAGGGCCGCGTCCTACCCGTGTGGGTGGCACCTGCTCTGCGCCTCCCTGTGTTTGCCGACACGTGGGAGCGTTGAGAGAAAGGAATCGCAGGCCGGGCGCGGTGGCTCACGCCTGTCATCCTGGCACTCTGGGAGGCCGAGGCGGGAGGATCGCTCGAGCTCAGGAGTTTGAGACCAGCCTGAGCAAGAGCGCAGACCCCTGTCTCTACTAAAATAGAAAAGAAATTAATTGGCCACTAATATATATTAGAAAAAAAAATTAGCTGGGCATGGATGGGCGGCATGCCTGTAGCCCCAGCTACTCGGGAGGCTCTGAGGCAGGAGGATCGCTGAGCCCAGGAGATCGAGGTTGCTGTGAGCTAGGCTGACGCCACGGCACTCACTCTAACCTGACAACAACAAAGCGAGACTCCTGTCTCAAAAAAAAAAAAAAAAAATTAAAAAAAAAGGGAAAGGAATTATCTAGAAGGACGCCCGCCTGTCTTCCCGCCAGGGCTTAACTCGGGTGAGCTCTGCCGACCACAGATTTTCTCCCTGGAAAATCAGAACGGTCCAGCGTATTCCCCAGCACTGGCGATGCAGCTGTATAAGGACGCAGCATTCCCAAGCCGTCTTCGGGGCTCCCCGTGGCCTTCTTTTCAATCTAGAACTCTCTCAGCAGTTGGCAAGGACAGGAATTCGGATCTTACGCAGAGCGCTTCGGCCAGATCCTCCTTGCGGCACGCGCACGCGTCCCTGGGCGGCAGCGCCGCCACCGCCCGCTCCTTCTCGACGGCCTCGAGCTCGTGCCGCTCGGCGATCTGGGGAAAGAGCAGGGCCGCCGTTAGGCACATCGAGGTTGTTTTCACAGATGCATGTTCCAAGCAAAACTCGCAGGCAGAAAACACGCCCGGGCGTGGCACTCTCTCAGCAGCCTGCCCGGCCAGCCTGCGAACCCAGCACCCGACGTCGCTGGCCCCCCACGCCCCGTGCCCCGCCAGCCTGCAGGCTGGCCGACCCCTGCACCAGAGGCTAGGTTGGCCGGGGTTCCAGCTTCACAGAGATGGCGACGTGCAACCCACGCTCCCTTCACGCCCGGTTTCTTTCACTGGACGCAGGCAGCCAGTGAGGTTCAGGCAAGACGCTGCGCGCGGCAGCACTGCGCTCGCGATCCCCTCGCTCGGCATCCCGCCGCGTGCGTACTTCATACTCGGTGGGTCCCTCTGCCGTTGACGGACATTTGGGCTGTTCACAGCCGTTGGCCGATACTGATGCGTTCGCTTGTAAGCAAACTCATTTGATGGAACCGGAACTCGCAAGGTGACGGAGTAAGGCAACAGTGCACGTGCTGAGAACCCTGAAACTCGAACTTCTGGGATGCCCAGTCACGTACACAGCGTGTTTTAGAGAGCGCCTCCTGCTGATGACGGGTTGCATTGCAGCCTGGTTCTATGAGACATTTTATTTTTATTTATTTATTTTTTTTTTGAGACAGAGTCTCACTCTGTTGCCCGGGCTAGAGTGAGTGCCGTGGCGTCAGCCTAGCTCACAGCAACCTCAAACTCCTGGGCTCGAGCCTCAAGCCGATCCGCCCTGCCTCAGCCTCCCGAGTAGCTGGACTACAGGCCACAAGCCACCATGCCCGGCTAATTTTTTCTCTATATATCAGTTGGCCAATTAGTTTCCTTTCTATTTAAGTAGAGACGGGGGTCTCGCTCTTGCTCAGGCTGGTTTCGAACTCACTACCTCAGCGATCCCCGCCCGGCCTCCCAGAGTGCTGGGATGACAGGCGTGAGCCACCACGCCTGGCCTATGAGACATTTTAAATGATCCAAGAAAAGGGTGGGGGCCACAGCCGAGTGCTGGGAGTCTGGGGGTGCTGTGCCGAGACCCGCTTCCCCCTGGGAAGAGGCCACGAGGAGCCCGTGGAGGCTCTGGCAGGCTGTGCTAACACAGAGCACACCCCAGAGTCAGGAAGACGCCGGACGCTTTTGCAAAGTCATTCCTAGTATTCTGATACCCAGGACAGGACAGTCGTCTTTTCCTTTCCCAGCAGGTGTGCGGGAACTGGGACGGGGAGGGGAGAGGTAACTGACCAGCTTCTTCCCTTTCGCGGGAATAGGGACTGCAAATTCCTCTTCCCTCTCGCTGTGCCCTCCCCACCCCAGTGGATCTCCCCAAAGCCGATTCGCTTCTCGGAGCTCTGCCAGGGCCACCTCCGTCTCCCGGGCTGCCGTCCCGCGCGCCGATGCCCAGGCCCGACGGCGGTGGTCACACGGACCAGTCCGAGCCTCATGCGCCCGTTTCGAACTTCCCTTAAGTCCAGGTCACGTACACAATAGGACAGATTTCTCTTCCACCCTCGAGATCAGGTTCCGTTGCACCAAACACGTGCTCCCTCCTCTCCCCTCGCACGGGCGGGGGCAGTCCCGGGGGTCCTCGCACCTGCTCCCTGATGGGTCTCGGTCTTGCCGTGACTGCTCCCAAGTCGCTTTCCACAGAGCACCTCAGGTGACCCAGAAGCAGGTGAATCCAGTCGCGAGAACCCCCCGCCACGCTTGAAAACGCCTGCATAGACTCCAGTTGCTCTCAGGATAAACCCAAGTACCTCCCATGGGCCACGGCAGACCCCACCCCGCGACTGTCCTCCCCGACGTCCGTCTGGCCCTCTTACAGAATCCTGCTTAAGTTTGGGGCA